GACAAGCTTGCCTGTTGCCTTAAGAATTTGGGAGTTTTCCAGCAGACTGTCTAAGAGCTGTGTATGCCTATCTGTCCAGAGAAAAGGTAAAGAAAAAACAGAATGATTTTCACAAGAACAGCAAAGGATTGTGAGCTATCTTAAGAGATTGTGTGTCCTTTAACTTCCTTCTGTTTTCCCTCCTAAGCACACAGCTTTTAATTTCCCACCAGCAGCAGGGTCCAGGCTTTTGTAAATCGAAAAATGTGTCTATCTCCCCACCAAGGTGTGGGATGAGAACTATAAGCCTGGTCTGGGAACTTTTTCTGTCTCTGTCAATACTGCAGTTGCCTATGGCAGGCTGAACTGTAAGGCTACCAAATTATTGACCGCTTTTAGGGTATGCATGAAAAGATGAAGAGACTAAGGGGCCCTAGGGAAAGGAAAAGGGAACTGGTAAGGTCTGTGGCTAAAGGCCACAGACAGCCACAGCTGTAGTTAAACAAACACTATTACCTAATTGTAATAGAAACTAGCTAGACAAGGAATTCCTTTTTCTCCACAGTCAGGTAGGAAACGCAAAATTCTGGTGTTGCTGACTTGTATGCAATCTGAGAACACTGGAACTTGTAAGGATGCTAAAAGTAGTTCTCTAAGGCCAGTGTCTGGAACTAAATAAGAATTTACTGCTCTGTCTGTAATGGGGGAGGAATATCACAGACAGATTGATTTCAGTGCTTGAGGAATTTCTGTTTATGGAGCCTGTGATTGCATTGAATGGACAGAGAGGTTTTTCCAAATTGCCTTTCCAGAACACCAAGGAAGGACTTTTGAAAATTAATGTGCATGGTGAGGGTATATTAATTTATCTTCAGCACAGCACTGCTGGCCAGGATCTGGAATCTGTTGATATGCATCAACACCCATGGAACACGGAGGAATGACCTTCACTCATTTCTTCTTTTGTAGCATAATCTCCTTATAGTTGTATGTATAGGAATGCCATGTCAACTCTGTTTTACTTAGTTTTAAAATCCACGTTCTCCTTTCCATTTGTAAATTCTATACTTGTACTCTGCCTGCATCACTAGGTCTTAATGTAGATCAACTCCATCTTGCTCATTAATTTGTGACTGTACTGTTACTGGCTAAGGTTTGTTTGCCAAGCAGCTTTCATTTTACATCACAACCTTTCATTCTACGTCAGTTTTTGCAGTGCTTCAGTCTGTACTAACCTAGGTTGTAGAAGATCATACTCATCCTTACACAGGGAGCTTGCCCAAGAGCTTCTCCAGGGCAGTGCATGCAGTGACAGCAGGTGTACTGTAAAGTCACAGATAAGCTGTAGGAAAAAAAAGATCTGTAAAATTGGTTAAGGAGTGTTGATCTTATTCTTTTGCTGTAGTCGTATTTTTTTTTAAAGTACCTCCAAAAAGAAGGAGTGAGAAAAATCAGAGGAAGAAAAAGAAGAAATTGGACAATGGGGAATACAAGTATAGAAAGAAAATACAAGGAGCAACAGAGAAAAGCTATCAAGTAGCATCAAAGAAGAAAAAATTTGAAAAGCAGAAAAACAGCAACAAGAAAGAAGAAATGTTGAATCTGTGTTCAGTGCACACTTGTGGACTGAGTTACCAGGTATATTTTGGTATTACTTTTTCCTTCACACCCTGAAAACAAGTTCCCACACCCTTTTCATTACATGCTCTCAATGTTGGCTGAAAGTTATACACACAAACAAGCAGCAATAAATTTCTGTTTATGCATGCACATAAAAAAAATATTTCTTGTTCATTTTCTGCTTTTGCTGACCTTCCTAAATGTTAGTAAGGTCAGAAAGTATAAGCAGAGAATTTTTCAATATTCTCCTCTCCCTTCTTCTGTCCTTCTGAGCTACAAATTTTCATATAAAGTTCAGGGTGATTTTGCTGTGTTTGTAAGTCAGACATACACAAAGCTTAAAAATAAAAAAAGGTTAAAAATAAAAAAGCAGCATGTTTGAGGATAGAATTCCACATCATTTCTACTTTTCCTTAGCAATAAGGTCAGCATAACGAGTTCCCATTACACACTCCAGCCTGGAACTTGGGCTTACAGCTCACAGATTTGTCAGCATAATACAATTGCTTACTAGGCCATGTTGTACAGATTTTTTAAAGGTATTTATGAAAATGGTATGGTAAAAGTATCCCTGGTTTTCAGAAGGGAGAATATTTTTTTTTTCACTCCAGTGTAGAATTCGTATTGAAGAATGACCTTTGTATTTTAATGACTCAGATCTGTGATATCATTATCTCATCATTAGCTTCAAATACACTCTCCTCACTTCATCTTCTCCTCTCAGGCCACCACCAGTCTGTAAAATCTTGTACCAGCCACAGAAGACATTTTTGTTTGAGGCTATGCTGTTTCATTCACACAATAGGTGAATTTTCTGATGCTTCCCTTAGCTGATATTCTATCCGTTCTGAATATCTATCTATCCAGTGCTAAAACTTAAGGAAATCATGATCTAGATGTACACTTCTGAGAAACTTCTTTTTTTTCTGACAGAAAAAGAAACTACATTTGAGTGAATATTCCAGTGCAATGGAAGTTTTCCAGGGTTATCTGTTTTTACTCACACATTTTCATTATTGTTTTAAAATGCATTTACAGAGCATTTGTAGTGGAATTTCTAAGTTATCACGTATTCCTGTCTCCCAGATCATAACTCTTCTAAGACAACAGAGGCTGGGGTGGAGGAATAGAGGCCAAATGGGAAGGACAAGGACTTGAACCCCACAGAGCTGAGTTAATCACAGTACATGAATAGCAATGATTTCATCAGTGACCTCGGTATGAACATGAAGTTTCCATTCAAAATCTGCTTTGGAGACATGTGAGTTTATAAATACAAAACTAGCTATCTTGTTCATATCAGCAGTCCTGTGCATGGCTTTTCCTTCTATTTAACTCTTATTTATGATTTTCCATGTTAATCTTGTTGAAGGGCAAAGAATGTTACTGTATCTTTATCCATCTGTCACTGCTATACCTTTTATAGTTTTGGGGAATCATAAAGAGATAAAGATCTACAAAAATAAAGTATGATGAGAGGATTTGTATGGATACTATAGTTACTACTGTGAGAATTCCATCACATCACAGGTGTAGTCTGTGCCACAGAATTTCCCTCAGCTAATCTCTCCCCCATCTAAGCACAGCCCCCCTAGAAAGGCACCCAGCTCTTCCTGACAGCTCCCGCAGAGCTGGAGCCGAATTCCAGCGGCCAGCGGCTCTAACACTCCACCACATTGGCCTCAGATTAACGTGATTTACAGCCACTCAGAACTCCTCTTTCACTGGCAGAGCTATGTAAAGAAGGCTTAATAGAAATGTATCAGTTCCAAATGCATAAATGTCTAAAAACACACCTGTATGTAAGGTCAGCTACAGCTACCTGATGAGTTGGACAGAAGATTGTGGCAAAATTTTCTGTCTGGCCCTGGAAATTCTGCTGCCCACTCTGGACTGGTAGGCAGTGGGAATCCTGGTAGCCTTGGGATATTTTTCACATTCTTTTGACCTTCAGGGAATGCTCATGGGTGTGCTTCTGCTTTCCTAGATAATTAATGGTGGAAGTGAGGAGATCTGGGCTCTTGGAAGGCAGTGCAGTTTTCTGCAGTGATGGATTGGATAAACAGATGAATTGGTAGATAGAAGCTCTCTTTTTTTCTGTTTGTCTACTCCTGCAATGTAATGATTTTCACTGTACTCATGTTTTTCTTTTTTGTTTTTGTTTTAATAAATCTAGGTATATTCATTAAAATGTGGCCTTTAAAAAGACTCATCTATGATCAACAACCTTAGAAAAACTGAATCACACTACAATGATAGTGTTCCCTGATGTGGTGCTTGAGAAGAAATGATGGGTGGGTAGATAAAGAGTGAAGATGAGAAGCAGAGAGTTAAACTCAGAGTGGCAGACACTGAGACAAACAGAGAAAAGAAAACACAGGTTGTGGAAAAGAGCAAAGGGGTGGCAGGGGGCTGTAAAGGAAAAAAAATCCAGACAGGGAGCCAATGGAACAAAGAGAAAAGGGAGTGAGAAGGAGAGAAGGAACAGGAAAAACTTATTCCATTAATTATTGTCATTATTAATGGAAATGTCTTTAAAAAATGGATAGGTGAATGATCCTCTCAAAAATGTACACGTGTTTCATGGGAAGATGAATACAGGCCATTTCTCTGCATTTGTGGCTGTGAAGCCTAAATTGTCCTCTGATCAGTGAAGGGAACTGTCAGCATAAATGATATTTAATGGCTGCTCTTGACATTAGAAATGATTGCCTACACGCTTGATTTATAACCTCAAAGGGATAGCCTAAGAAAGAGTCTTATACACTGAATTTCCAATTTAATAGACATTGCTCCAACATTCAGTATAAATGTTCTTCATGTATTCTTTCTTCTATGAATTTCATCTCATCTCAGAGCAGTAAAATCTTAGGTCAGGTAAGGCTGATAAAAATTTAAATTAACTTAAATTGATCTTATTGATTAGCTAATCTATAAAGTCTCAACCTGCCACTACCAGCAAGTTTGATGAGAAGTATTTCCTCACTTTTGTACACCTTTAGATCACTTGGGCAGCAAAGAGAGGAACATTTTATATTAATACATGTTCATGAAGTAAAAAGATTGAGGAATATGACTATTTGTTGCAATATTTTCAATTAGTTGCATACACATGTAGTTACAAGTTATAAATATTTCTCTGATATTTAGCCACTTCAGTCCTTTTTCATATCTGCAAGCCATTTTGTTTTAACAGAAACATTTGCGTGAGAATAAGCTATCTGAGTAAGTAAATGTTTCCAGGTTTGGCCCCTAACTGTGTTTGGTATGGTTATCAACACTGGCCATCTGTGTTTTTTCATTTTAATTCCATAAATGAATGCCTTTCCTTTGAGAATTTCAAGGACCAGGAAATAGCTATAAACCTCTTTTGCAGCTCCAGACCAAATACTCCGACAATTATTAGTTGATGGGATACATAGTAAAAATATTTTTTTCTTTTACTCTGTAATTTATAAATATAATTTTTTTTTTTGCTAAGATGTATAATATCTATGGTGCAAAGATGTGGCTTACTTAACCGTGGGCTTAATCAGTTTTGATCTGGATTCTTGTGATGCAACCTAAACAAACAGCAAGTAAGTAATCAGATAAGTAGCTCTGCATTAATGGGATGTCCTGATTCAAGAATATTAGGGTTTTTAGTAACTTTTACTTTGTTTTACAGACTCTAAATTCCTGGCCTGTATTTTGCAACTTGTAATTAAGAGGAATTAAAAACCCACAACGAATGAAAAGCAGCAGTCCAATCTGCCATCTATACTGGTATGGCTGGAATGCTGGTAAGAATATACTCATCATCTTATGATTCAGCACTTACTCGGCTTTTGTTAACTCTCCCATAATTAGTTTCAATATTGAGATAAGACCTAAGGATCCAATCACCAGACTGGTTTTGAAATTACTGTGAGCTGTAACTGTATAAATGAAAGTAGATCTGGTTCCAGGACCAGACACCTACTTAACATTAGCTTAAGGAAAGCATATGGATAGATTCTTACTTAAAAAGTGAGTCTAGCAGTGAAAATGTAATTGGATCACTTTAAAGAAACTTTATGTGTAAATAACATAAATAACGCCTAAACATAAATTAAAATTCAAGTATTATATTAGATCCAATTGGCAAAAAAATTAAGATTTTTCTCAGAGTTCTTAATTAATAAACATTTTTGTTAAATATAAAAAAGTTTGTTTTAGTGAACAGAATTTCCATGTAATGAATGAAGCTCAGAAAGCCAAATTCTGTGTTAATGCTTTTCTCTTGAGACTCAGCAAAAATTGACAATATCCTGAAGGAAATAGATTGTTCTCTCACTGTCTATAATACAAATGGGGAAAAAATGAATTATATAATTTTGTTTTCTAATGAATCATGAAATCATCCCTAGTGGACCAATGCTTCGTTGGATATCAGTTGTACAGAGCAATGCATGTTTGTAGATTAAATTATCCTAAATATTGATGGTAATCTAACTCCGTTATGAATTGAACTAAGACTTGGATTCAATTTAATTTGATGTAGTTTTTGCACCCAGATACATTAATTGTGCATCCCACCTTCTTGTAGGCAGAGAGGAGATTTGGACAGGCATTCGTCTGAATAATGAGGTAGAAGAGCTAACCCAGTCCTGATCCCTAAATCAAGTTAAAGGAAACAAATTTAAAGTCAGGAAAGTTTGTCAGAAAGTCTATGTCAACATTTTGGTTTGATGTTATTTGGTGTTAATTTTTCATTGTGTTGGATTGATTTGCAGAGCCGCTTTGGTATATATGAATTGAACACAGAATTCCATTAAACATGCTTTGCCTCTTTAGAGGATTATGTGGGTCTAAACGAACAATCTGTATTTTAAATGTTTTTGAAACCCTTGTGATGGGAACACTTTGCCCAGAAGACAAAAGTGAATGTGCCTGAAGAAAAAACTCACAGCTGTATGCACCAGGAGCCTTGGCTGCAGCTGTTCTGATCCTCTCTTGCACCAAATAGCTTGGAGAAGCAGGCACACTTCATTCTCAACCTGGTGTCGAAGATGTCTCTTGCTGAGACCTTCTATTCATTTGTGTAATGTGTATTTCTTACTAAGGAGAAAAGGTATAGTTTGGCAGACTCTAAAATACTAAAGTCAGTTTCTGGGACCGTCAGAATAACCTTGGGACCAAACGACTTTAATGAAGACAGAGGTTGAGGGAGGTTCAAAAGCAGAACAATTGCTCTGTCTGAAATAAAAACAAAAGTAAAAATGAAAATGAAATTCAAAGGCAAAGCTGCCATTCCCAAGGAAATTTCTGATTCTGTTGATTACATTAATAGAGTTTTTCAAAGCAAATGGACTGCAAATGCAATTCTGCAGACAAATCTCACAAAGCACAAAACACATTAAAAGAGTAAGTTAGTATCAGAGACTTTTGTCTTCACCTGATTGCAATCGCCTACCGTCTCTCTGCAATCTTTGAAGAACAGATTTTCCAGATACAATTACTGTGAATGTCATTTCACCTTGCAGATTTCTTCATATACAAACTGGACTTAGCTTGCAGAGGAGCAGTGCAAAACATATGCAGGATTCAGGAATAAATACTGACAGGGAATTTAAGAGTGACTGCATGAATCTGTAAGTGATGAGCTTTGAGATTAGCAAAACTTGCTGGAAACTTTATGAGACAAAAAAAAAAAAAAAAAAAAAAAGGCATATGAAACTTATTCCAGTATCCAGAATAGCAGAGGCTAAGATTTTCCAGCAGGAATTAACTTCTGGAAACAAAACAGATATAGGTCTAGCTGACCTAGCTGACAGAAAATATAAATATGTTCAAGGATGATGAGGCACTGACACAGGCTGCCCAGAACAATTAGAGGTATTCAAAGCCAGCCTGGATGGACTCTGAGCAACCTGATCTAATGGGAGACAACAAGCCCACAGCAGAGGGTTGGAATTGGATGATCTTTTGGGTCACTTCCAACCTAAACCATCTTATGATTCCATGAGTCAGATGCAAAGATCTTAGCATATTTACTTGAAATGTTTGCAATGAATATATCACTTACGAATCAAGTACTATTACAGGGCTACCTTAAGGGTAGCTCAATTGCAAAAATTATGCTGTTGCAGACTATGGAAGACAAAAAGTGGTTTATTTGATAAAGAAGGAAAAGGCACCTAGTTTTCCTCAATATATTGACAGAAAGTGAAAGTTTACAAGACAGTATATCACTTCTCATATACACAGATGTTCTTAAGACTTTTGAATTTTCTAAAAAAACAGGCAACTCTTGTTTTCAGGAATGATTGCAGAACCAAATGCTGACAAAATACAGTAAAACTTATTTTAAGGTACTTGGTATTTACCTAGCTCCAACAAGCAATGACTGCCTAATGGTGGTAGAAAAAATGTTTGCTGTATCCATCTGTCTCCATACCCGACTGCAGGCATACTTTTTTATTCAATTACTTAAAATGGAATCGACAACATCCTTACTACTAATACTTATGTATTATTTATTTACAAAATATATTTTTGTGTTTTAAAATTTCAGAATAAAATAAAATGGCAGGCACGTACCCAAGTAAACTATTCCATCTTAACTATTTTTCTGTGATTTATTATTACATTTTATTGCAAAAAGTTCCTTTCCTACTAGTAATAGCCTGAAGCTATAATTTCTTGGCTTTTATTTTAAATACATTTAAATTTCATTAATAAAGTATAGCCATATCTTTCAGTAGTTATATTTTTCCTTCCAAGGCAGCAGAAGGAAATAACTAGCACTGACTAGAAACAAATGTTGATTCTTTATATTTAATGATGTTTATTCAATCTGAAAGCTAAAGGAAGTGGAAGCAGCACCAGACTGTCAGCTGGGCTCTCACAGTCGTGGCCTGCAAGAAGAGACTCCTATGCCTAGAGCAAAAGCTAACAGGATCCAGACTCCAGCTTTTCAAAGGAGGTGCTGCTAGACTTTTTCACAACTTTCCTAAATAATCTGGAACTCTTTCTAGAAAGGTGTTCTGTTCACTTTTCTTGTACTGAAGTTCAAATTCAGGGAAAGTGAAGGAGCTGGTAAAAGTAAATCTAAATCTGAGCTTTTTGTTCACTGATTGACTACACTAAGACACTCCAACGTGCTGCTAAACTTCTAGGAACTCTGTGTTCTTCCCATTCTAACAACACACTATGTCAAGGTGTTTGCTTATTAGTGTATATGTGCATGGTTTGTCACCTCTCAGCACAAACTTTGTCTGGCTTAAATCTCATTGCATCTAATGTAGCATCAAATCAGTATAGCTACAACACGGTGTCACATGCACAAAGAGTACATTGCTGGGTACTCCATGCAGTCTGCTTCCAGATTAACAGCTAATGCACTCTGGAAAGTCTCCAAGCCTGCAGTGGGTTGTTGTTCCTCTTCCACAGTCTTGGCCATTCATTTTACCTGCTGTAGGGAACCTGCTTTGGCAGGGGGGGTGGACTCGATGATCTCTGGAGGTCCCTTCCAACCCCTACAATTCTGTGATTCTGTGATTCTGTGATTTTGTTGAGTCCTTTTGAATCGTCAGCTCCCAAATTCTTACCAGTTATAAAGAAAATGTCTGCTTCTTGAGCATCTTCACTCTCAGTTGCCAACTGTCCAAACAGAGAATGAGTCATTCACATAACAATCCCTGGGATACAAAACTCTCCTTTCTACACAGCAGAGTCTTTTTGGTGGGACAGCCAGTTCTATCTGTCTGCCCAGATGCTCCCACTTGCGAGGGAAAGAGAAGCAGAGGAAGCAGTTTTAATGTTTCCTAGGAAATAAAGATTTATGGCATGGTTGTCATAATGGGAAAGCAAAATAAGGGTCTGTGGTGAGAGCACATTGGGATTTTTATTGCATGTATTCCTCTGGTTGGGAAAGAAGAGTAAGATTTGGCCTGGACTTGGTAATCAGTATACAATGGGTCATGAAAGATGGATGAGCGTTAGGGAAGAAGGCAGGAATCATCCGGCTGGTGACCACCATGACCTTTTGACATAATCCCTGTGCAGGATGATGCGATTCTGTGAGTTATTCCAGGGCAGCAAAGATATTTTTCCTTGAAGGCAAAAGGAGCCTGCTTACGAGACTGAGGCTACTTTGATGGTAGGCCATGAAATGTCTGAACCTGAACACAGAAGTGCCAGCGCAAGTGCATAATATAAAATTATGAGAGTCTAGAATTTTCAGCCATTGCATTGCACAGATGAGCAATGTTCCACATGGCAAAATTCTGCTGGACTAAAGATACAACTTTAAAAATATATGATCTTTTTCTATGCATGCAATGAGTTTGTAACAGTTCAGACTTGCGGAGAGTATCGTTGACTTTTTTTAACCCTGTTATGTCAAACCTAGATCTCATCAGTTCATTAAATTCTCCCCTTGCGTCCACATTTACAATCTTCTATACACAACTACATTCCTCTGTGATGTTTTGACTTGTCACATTGTTTAAGAACTGATACAATATAGCAAAGATTGATCAAAGATTTTCTCTCACTGCTTTGTTTCCTATATATTTGGTGATACTTGGCTGTTTCATTTGCAGAAGCCCTTGTGCAAAGCCTCACTGTTGAAGAAGTACTGCATAAGATTTATATATCTGTCCTTCTACAAAGTGCAGAAATCTCCAAGCTTGCATATTAAATCAGAGTCTTAGCCTTGGATCCCATCCCACCTAACAACTCTTTCCTATTTTCTCCCTATGGTCATGTACACCACAGATATCTTTGGGAAGTAAAAAGGAAGGTATGATGCTCATTTACACCAAGTCCAGCTGAGGTAGGTTTTTTGAATGCACCACGTATGAATCAGATCCAAACAAAGTTGGTTTGATTTCAGAGATACAAGGAAAAGCTGCTTCTTTTTCTGTTTTTCTTTCTGAGTAGTTAGGTTGTTACTATACATTGTACAAGAAAGACCTAATGCCTCAGAAGAAATGAAGAATCATAGCACTCAGTTATGGCATGATAGTCTCTGTATCAGTGGAAGGTTTTTTATAAACAAAATAAATGATAGACTTTTGTTTCCTCTGAGACAAAATTTTAACCATAACAACGAAGACAGAATGCATATGTGATTTTGCACCTCCACAATAAAATCAGCAGTACAAATTGTGTCACAGGAATATAGCATGGTGTAGAGCTGAAGTTTCAGCTTGCAGATGCCCAGCACACTAAGAAATCCTGGAGGGAGCAAAGACATAAAAATCAACAGTTTGAAATGCCGTTTGCAAGGTGCTTGGTTTCTCTGTAATGCAAATAGTCATATAAAATATGCAGGAATGTGGTTTTCTTCGGTTTGAATGGGAAGAGGAAATTGATTTACGAATCTTGAATGGAAGAGAAACTTTACAGCAAGAGAATAGACAAAGCAACTCTCGGCATGGTGTGGAGTATATATGCAGTATAACTGCCCCTGCCTGTGGGAACTGCTTTGACTTTTGTACTATTACAACATAACCAAAGTGCTCTCCAGTGTAATTGAATACTAGAGCTTTACTCTTTAGTGATCTTCAGATTAGTATAATCTTTGTGGTTATTCTTGGGCAACTGGCCTTTCAGGACTTTCAGTGATGTGCCTTCAAAGAGCCCTTTATATTTCCTGAGAATTTGAAGCCATCTCTCTGCAAGGTGTG